TTGAGCCACTAAGTTTTCAAACAATTCATTATGTAGCAATAGATAACTAATATAGGATATAATGAACAAACCATGCCATCATTTTCTCAAAGTTCTTAAGAATTAGAACCCAAAGATTAACAAAAAATATAACTTCTATTCAGGCCTGCAAACAAAGTGACTGGCAGAATGTAGGATGATTCCCTTACACAGGTAACAATGAGTTAAAAGATGTTGGCTCTCTGACACCAAAATTCCTGGTACTCTAACTCCTCTGGAAACAAAAGAGAGCATCTTTATTTTCTGTGTTTCTTTCCTTTACAGAAATATTCCACGAAGAAAAAACTGATGTATTAGTGCCTGTGACACTTTCAGTGGCTATGCCAAAGCTCAAGATTTAACCTACTTAGTAGATTAATAGCGGCGTCTATGGTGATATAAATATGCAGTTAAGCTTCTGAGGGTCAGAAATGAATACATATAAAATGGAAATAAAGAGAAACAATTTAAAAATTGTGAAGTTAGTGTAAATATAATATATAATAAACAGGTTAAAAAAAGTTTGTATGTTTTGGTTTAGATCTTTAAATTTACGCCTATGAATTTGAAAAAAAAATACAGTATTTATACGTGGGTGACTGTTACTGGTTTCTACAATCTGACATTGTGTTTTAACACCCACAGTGAATTATAATCTTGTCAGTCTCAATTGCATCTCACTATCAGTAAACTGGAAAACATTCCCTCTTTGCAGGATCACTGTAATTATGTTATTTTACTGGCTTGTCTGAGATTTCTGTTTCAAGACTTAGCATATAAAAACTTCATACTTGATTTGAAGTCCACTCAGTATATTATTACTCTTGCTGACAAAGGAAACACATGCATTTCCAAGGTTTTAAAATTTTAATTCAGAAATACATCAGTGAAAAGCATGCTGATATTTCTTTTGACATTAAAACACCAACCTAAATTGTGGTAAGTTATAATGTTACTCTGATGGGACAGAAAAAAACAATAGGCAACAGGGTTGAAAAATTTATACTGAAACCACTTGCATATACAAGGTTTCTCTATTTATACTTATTTTAAGGTTGGAAAGTTTGGGAGATCCAACAGAGGCTAGTGAATGCTGTTAAGATGTTTAAAGCCATTTAGCGTCTTCCTTTCAGTATAATCTTGGAAGAGTTTACAAAGCATATGCTAATCTCTACTGTTTACCCAATCATCCTGAATAATTGAGTTAAAAACCCATTGAACAGGGGCAGGACAAAAGCCTCATGGGGATTGGGATCCAAGCAGAAGGGAGTCAGCATGGGCCAGGAAGTGAGTCTAGTGGTGTCTGGAGCCTGTACAGTGAGGACCCCCATGCAGAACCCCCACCCTGTGTGGTTGGGAGATTGGTTACAGTACAGGATAACTGAGCAAATAAATAAATACGCTGAGGATAGTGGGAGACAGGTTCTCAATGTCAGAGAAGGAGGATACAGTATGGAATGTGGAAAAGATTGAATGAACCCGGTGGGTTTGGGTTTGAATTTAATCCATCAGCATGAACTTGTGGTTTTCAGTATATGCAGACAAATATGGAAATATATATATGGATGGAATCGTGTATGTGGTCAATTTACAGATGGTTCTTATCGTCCACTGAGGACAGTCTGGGAGCAGGGTCACCACAGAAACATGAATACTCCTATGGGCCAGATCTTGGTTCTTTTGTGACTAAAACCAGGACTTTCTGGAGAAATGACTGATTCCAGGGCTGAATCGGGGAGAGCACAATCCGAGTTTGGAACATTTTGCCACACCAGAATGTAAAGAAGTGTCCAAATAATGATAAACCATGTCAGAATGACACAGAAGTGAGCCTGAAATGGCTTTTGCTACCCAAATTCAGGACAATTTGAGTACAAAATAAATAATTTGAGTATCAAAAAGAGATTTTGAATATCAAAAGAAAAAAGAAGGCAGTAAAAGAGCAAGCTAGAGATCATATCCCATAGAATGAAATAGGAATACACGAGTCTTCCAATGTAAAAATGAATGAGTAAATAGGGAAAACAGAAAGCTCTTCCTCTAGCATTAGGTTAACTAATAAACATAAGAGGAAGGTTGAATCAGGAAGTCACCATTTGGCAACCAT